TTTTTCTTTTTTTTTTTTTTTTGGTTGTTTGTAATGTCTATCAACTTTATTTTAGGGTTCCTAATTGTGTGGGTGGTAGGTGTGTGGGTGGATCGAGCAAAGAAGTAAAAACAAAAAAAAAAGAAATAAAAAGCAGTAGTTGTGGTGACCACTATATAAATATACTCCTTGTGAAAGGGGGATGTCGCTTATTGGTTGCCTCTCACTTGGCTGCCGCCGTGTGCTCCTGCAGAAGAAACAGACCGCTGCTGGCTACATGGCGAGTGCTGGAAAGGTTGGCAGCGATGAGAAGTGGGCGCAGGCCGCGATGGAGTACCTGCACGAGAAGAATCACTGCAACGATGCCCGCAAGCGGCAGCACGACGTGGACCACGAGCGCCGCCTCGCCCACGCCTTTGACCGCCTCTGCGCCCTGCAGGAAAAACAATTCGCCGCCCGTCTCTCCCGCCTTGCCGGCCGCATGTCCGCCGCCCTCGAGGCCCTCGACGGGGAGGCCCGCGAGGAGGCGCTCCTGCTGGCCGCCGAGCAGCCGCCCGGGGGGGTGCGCCGCCCGTCCCTCACGCCCCCCCGCGCCGGCTACGAGCCCGGCTTTGGCCTCGACGTCCCGCAGCTCCGCGCCCAGCAGGCGGAGTACCCGCCGTGCCGACGGCCCACGGACGCGATGGAGGCGGGCGAGGAGGCCGATCCGGACTTCCCCTTCGTGGAGGCCCACCGCGTGGAGGACCTCACCGCCCAGTGCACAGAGATGTTGGAGCAGCGGCATGGGGAGGTGCGGGAGGCGGCACCCCTCACAGGTGTAGAGGGAGAGGCATGGGAGGCATACGTCGCATTGCAGAAGAAAGCACTCGCACGACAACAGCTTATCTTTGATCTCTGTAATGATCCAGAGCTGCGTGAGAAGTATGACCAGGATGAAGAATTTAGGAAACAGCAGTGGTCCGAACGCGGTATGCTGCCACTGGAAATTGAAGAAGAGCAGCTACGCGAGGAGGAACGACACTACGCGCAGGAACCGGCGTATCACCCATTTAGAAAAATGTGAGAAGAATGAGCAGCAAATGAAGAAGAAGAAGAAGAAACAAAGAAAAAGAAAAAGGAGGTGGATGCATTACAAAGTAAGGATGGGTGTAATTTCTTTAGTGGTGGTGTTTGTGTTTATGTGTGTCTGATGGGTGGTGATGGGGTTGGGGTGGTGTTGGTTGATTGAGTGTGAGTGAGTGAGAGTGAGTGAGTGAAATTTTTTTTTCTTCTTGCTTTCTTCCTCTTTTTTTTTCTTTTTTGGTTCCTTCACATTTTCTGTTTCTTTACTTATAGGCTTCTTTTTCTACGTATATGTGTATGTGTGTGAACGTCCTGTATTGAGTTTACCCTGTGTATTCAACCCTATTACATTTATATTTCTATTTATTTGTTTTCTCTTTTTGTACTTTTGGTTCAGGTGCAGGGTTGAAGAAGAATAAGAAGAATAAAACAGGTACTCACCGATACCTGTCTATTAACGTAGCAAGAAAAATAAAATAAAAATAAAAAAATAAGAACGGGAAAAAAAAGAAAAAATAAAAATAAAAACGACTTTACACGAACAATAAAGATGCGGTGTCGTCATTCTGAGGATAATCTTATGCATGAACGACAAACAAGTACGCAGGGTACAGTTGTAGATTTTCACAGTACTCCTAACACTCTGGCAACAGATTGGCCATGGGGACTTCTTCTTTCTGATAAGCATCATGTACTTTTCTCTTCTGATAAACGACGAGTTACGGTTGGTCGCTCTCATAATTGTGATATAGTAGTAGATGATCCTCGAATTAGTGCAGTTCATTTTGCCATTATTCTTTCCCTTGAAGTAACTGTTCCATCACCTGGTGAATTACAACAGTATCATCATCGTAATCGATCAGTTCCACATTGTTGTACCTCTTCAAGTACTGCATTGGTACCACCACGGATTTTGCGGGGTAATCGTGAGTCTATTGTATTTGAAGATAATATTGCTACTAACTCAGTTGCTGTAGGTGGATTATTCTGTCAAAGATCTCCCGAGGTGAGAGTGTATCTAGAAGACCTAAGTAGTAATGGTACCTATGTGAATGATATGATTGTGGGAAAAGGTAGACGTTGTCAATTACTGAGTGGGGATGATATTGGAGTTGTGGCTATTCCATCAAAGGTAACACGTGAAGAGTGGGAAACGGGAAAGTTGGGAATATCAAGAGGATCTTCTTCATTAATAGGTGTTAATGAAGCAAGACTTTTAGCCAATCTTCCTCAAAGCCGATCGTATGTTGAAAGATTTTGTTTTCAAGCCTATCATTCACCAGAAGTAACCACTATATTAAACTTTTCTGAACAACCAAAATGTGAGGAAGAGGAGGAGGAAGAAGTAGAAGGAGAAGAAAAAAAAGACAATAATGATAATAAAGAAAAAGAAAAACAACAACAACAACAACAAGTACGACAACGATTTTGTTGGAGGAAAGAAGACTGTGTGGCTATTCAACCATTGGTAAAGGCTCCATTTCGATCTATTCGATGGCAACAAGGTCATCCTATTGGACGTGGTGCGAGTAGTGTGGTGTATGCTGGAATTGATTTAGATACTGGTCAAATGGTAGCGTTAAAAGTAATTAGAAAACCAGAACATTTCTCAGTCTATAAAGATGGTATCTTCTATAATAAAAATGAAGGTGGTTTACCTTTACATTTTGAATCCAAGAAAGTAGAAGCACAATGTTCCCCAATGAGTGTTGTAAACTGTTGTAAAAAGTTTCATGAAAATTCCCGAAAAAATTTTGATAGATTAGATGAATCACTTCGAGAACTTTGTTTCCTTACACATCTTGTTCATCAACGTATTGTACGTTGTCTTGGTGTACAAAAAGTTCCTGAAGGTATTTGCATTATATTAGAATATGTAGCTGGAGGTACTTTACGAGATCTAATTAAAAATTTTGGAGCTTTTCATGAAAATGTTATCCGACTTTATATGCTTCAGGTACTTCAGGGATTGGAATACCTTCAATCACAGGGTGTGGTTCATGGTGATCTCAAGAGTGCAAATGTACTCATGTCTGAAAAGGGAAATTTAAAAATAACTGATTTTGGTACAAGTCGATTTGTAAGAACCACTTACACTACACATTCTAATAATAATAATAATAATAATAATAATAATAATAATAATAATCATAATAAACGAGAACGAGTAGAAGGAATTGATTATTCATCACAAGGTGAAACCAAAAGACTCTGTGGAACACCTCTTTATATGAGTCCAGAGTTTATTAGAAGTCAAGAATCCACCTTCGCATCCGATGTTTGGGCATTAGGATGTATGGCGTATGAAATGGCTGTGGGAGTTCCACCCTGGGAAGAATATCATGATTTACCTCCACACTCTGTTGTTTGGAAAATAGGAGCATCTGATAAGGGACCAAATTTAAATCGTCTTCATCATCGTGGGGCAAGTACTGCCTTGTTAAGTTTTCTTGAATGTACACTTCACATGGATCCTCATCAACGTTCTTCGGTAGCGGAATTATTAAAACATCCATTTATTGTGGGAAGATTGTGTATTACATCTTCCCCTTCTCTTGCCTTGTTTCCCGCAACTCCACCGAATTGGAGTCAATCCGTAAGTCCATCTCTATTGCAAATATCATCAAGTTGTAAAAGATCCAACTCTAATGGAAATGGGGAGTTCTTCTCACAAAGGGATGAGGGAAATAAATGTGATCCTATGATGGTGATTGGATGTGAAAGTGATGAGATCCAGCAACAACAACAACAATATGTGGATTCAAATCCACCCTCATTGGATTTGGGAACTTCAACAAAGATTGCGTTAGTACAGAGTAATGAAAATGAGACGAAAGAGACAACAACAACAACAACAAACTCATCTCATACGCCTGGAGTTGAGGATCATAAAGCCTTTGTCTATAAACTCTGTCGTGAGAAAATTCTAGCGGAGAAAGATGATGATGATAATAATGATAATAACAATGATATTAATGTAGATGTGGGGTCTAGTCCTTTAGATGAATCTTCGTCGGTTATGCAATCTCAACGATGGCGATTAGGTGATTCACCCACAGGATTTCAACAGGCAGCAGATATAATAGATAATCAAGAGAAAGATATGATGAAGGACAATAACGGTGATATCGTTAATTGTAAAGGGGAAGAAATTCATGAGAAGTCTACCATATTTCCTGCAGGTGAGGGTATTACGGCCGAATTTTCAGGATTGGTACAAATATTTAGGGACTAGTGGAGTCCTAGACTTTTTTTTTCTTGTTGTTATTGTTATTGTTGGGCGTTCTTTAAATTGATGTTGTTCTTGTTTTTTTTTTTTGTTATTATTATTATTATTATTATTATTATTATTATTATTATTATTATTATTATTATTATTTTTTATATATATCTACCCTTTATTTTTACGTACCGTTCTTTTGTGGATACGCCGTAGTTTAACTCACGATGTTGGACTTGGCTATTGAGTGTTTTCCTTTGTATTTTAATTCCTTTTAAAACAAACAATAGCATGGCTTTTTTTTATTATTATTATTTCCTCAAGTGATACTGCACTGAGAAAAAAAAAGGGTGTGTGGGAATTAAGTGATGGGAAAAAATAAAAAGAAAAGAAATGGATGTACTTGCTGCTGATGATAACAGTAAGAATGGGTGGAAAGAGGAAAGTGATGGTGTGAAATGAGAAACTTTCTACGCAGTACAGTAGGTTTCTGTGTATCGGTGGTTGTATTTTTTTTTTCTTTTGTATTTCTCTATCAATGATCGAATGAGTTTTTTTTTTTTATTTCTTCTCTTTTTCATTGTTGCCGCTGTGTCTATGAAAGTTAATAGTTTTTTTTTCTTTTTTTATTCTCATGTTTTCTCAAGTGTTTTGTTGACGCTTAATTCTTTTTTTTTTTCTATTTGCTGTATCGTGTTCTGATATTCGGATTATCTTTTTCTTTTCTTCTTCTTGTTATTGTTATTGGGTTTTTTTTAAAAATACTTAAGAAGAAGAGGGGGAAAGAAGTATATATATATACATACATAAGAATGTATACGTGAAGTTTGAAAACGTGCAGCAACTTTTCTCTTTCTTTCTTTTTATCTTATTATTATTATTATTATTATTATTATTATTTTCTTCGATAGTGCTGTTAATTGGTGAGAAAGGAAAATAAATAAATAAATAGTGAGAAAAAGAGAGAGAGTTTTTGTTAATAATAATATAAAAAAAAAAAAAACGCTCAATTATGGAATAATATTCTTGGATCCGGTTTTTTTTTCTCCTTATTCCTCTGCTTTTTTCTTCTCTCTCTTAATTTCTTCTAATTATTATTATTATTATTATTATTATTTATTTATTTATTTATTTATTTATTTATAAAAAATATCTATTCTTAGTAAAAGGGGGAAAAAGATGGGTCAAGGCGGTGTGGTTGGAGCTGCCCTCACTTTGGCTGTAACGACGATGGGTGCGGGAATTCTCACATTACCCGCGGCATTTTATAATGCTGGTGTAGTGCCTGCGATGGTAATGCTCATTATAGTAGCCTTGCTCACCATTGTGTCTATTGACTATATGGTTCTTTGTATTGACAAGATTGGTGTTAATTCATATGAGCAAATTAATAGAGTATTACTAGGTAAAATTAATGAGGAACTTGTACGTTGGATGTTAATAGTGTATAATATTGGATCTGCTATTGGATATCTTGTCGTGCTTGGAGATCTTTTTGAACCTTTACAGCCTTTCATCTCACATCATATTCCTTGGCTCACTTCAAGGAAAGATACACTTTTTGTTTTTTGGCTTGTTGTGATTCTTCCTTTTTCATGTGTACCTGATATTTCTTTTCTGCGATTTGCCTCATTTTTGGCGATTTCTGCCACTTCACTTATATCGTTTCTGGTGGTATTTCGTTATTTTGTGCCGTTGAATGAAATGAGAGGAGAATCCTCTTCTACAATCATCATACATGATACGAATAATAATAATAATAATAATAATAATTCGGATAATGTTTTGTGGTTTAATGGTAGACGTCCACTCTTAGCTTTACCGATAATGATGTTTTCTTTTGATTGTCAATCACTTGTTTTTCAAATATACTCCAGTTTACATGAAATGCATCGTCGAAATATGATGCGTGTTTCTATTCTGAGTTTAATCATTTCAGGTACTATTCATGCCGCTGTGGGATTATTTGGTTATCTTGGTCATCCAACAGATGTTCGGGATAATGTGATGAGTAATTTCAATCCAAGAACTGATTCTCTTTTTGCCTTTGGATATCTCATGTACGCTATTCCCGTTAATCTCGCCTTTGTGCTTATTCTCTTTCCCACACGAGATGCCATTTTCCTCATGTGGTATGGATATAATGCCGCTACAGAAGCCAACACAAAAACAGCAATGATCACAACAGCAACAACTACTACTACTACTACTACAATATTACCATCATCCGCCTCTTCTTCTTCATCCACAATGCTGTACGGTGAGCCAAATTCCCGTATTCCATTACGAGATCATTTAATTGTGAGTATTTCTCTCTCGGTGGCCTGTATTGCCGCCGCACTTGTAGTGCCTGGAGTGGCTGCAGTAGTGGCACTTCTCGGTGGTGTGTGCAGCAGTACATTGTGTTTTACTTATCCCGCATTGTACCGCATTCGACTGCACAAAAGTGGTGTTCTTCGTTGTTGTCATTGGAGGGAATATGTGATGATGTGGGGAATGTTGGCAGTGGGTGTTGTTGGAGGACTGCTTGGCACTATTGTAGCGGTGATGGAATATGTGTAGTGTGTGTGTGAACTCTCTCTTTCTCTCTTTCTCTTTTTCTCTCCCTGAGTGTATGGGTCTCGTTGTTTAAATTCTAAATAAATAAATAAATAAGGGAGAGAGAGAGAGAGATGCTGTAGACAACATAACCATTGTACCTTCTTATTCCCTCTTTTTATTCGTTTTAGTGGATGGATAAGGAGAAGGAATATATATATATATATATATATATATATATATATATATATATATATA